TCGTCCACCTACCAGGATGTGAACTTGTCTTCTGCTTCTGAACTTTTTCCTTTTTAAATTTCGGCACTATACGAAATACTGTGCTTCTGCTGTTTCTTTTGGTGCAATCCATAGGAGGCTCCTGTTTAAATACAGCAAGAAAAGAAATAGGATACAAAGAGAAGAAAACCCCACTCTGATAACAGAGAGAACAGAAATAGGTTATAAACACTAAACAGTGATAACTGCTTTAAAAAATGTTCTTGATTTAACAGACTACTGAAAATGTACCAATTCCTAGAAGATACCTTTGTTAAAATAAATGCCTTTTCTCACTTGTTCAAGAACAATACATTTGAAAATAGTATTCAAAATTTATTTTCCCCTAAATATCTATTTTTCAAAGATGAGTTTGAATCCTATTGTTGTAAGGTCTTCATTTATAAAAACATTCTGAGTTTTACATACCTCATCCTCATTTGGATGTAAGATGTAATAAAGCCAAGGAATCTCTGTTAATTTCTGTAACTCCACCTCCACAGAGTGTAAGGCATTGGACACGCGCTCTTCATGCGGGGATTCCAATTGCTATTTACCAGCAGATTAAAAAACAAGACAAAAGAAGACTCAGTGACTAACCTCTAATAGAATAATGATTTTATTATGAGAGTGAACATCCTCACCTTTTATTAGGGTAGTTCTTTTTAAACAAAGAAATATTTTTACGAGAACAAATTATTTTGTATTGACTCATCTTTAAAAATCTGTATAGATTTCATCTAATCCTTACTTCCCAAAGATGATATAAATCGCTAGTGTGACTTTAACAATTTCACAGAAAAAGTTTTGCTTTTGGTGTTTTTTTCCATGTAAAGCCCTTCCTTCCTTCCTTGCAAGCATCTACCTATCCATTCTGCTTGTTGTATTAGTGAGTAGTCTTATTATTCTACTTATTTGTGCCCCAAATCCTTCTGATTTACATAGGTCACTACATGAAGAAATAATATTTTTTTAATCAGTCAAAAACTTGTCATATCAAAAGAACTCCACAAAAATCTCCTGGAGAATTAAAAAAATAAGTTTAAGGGAAAAAAACCATGAATCTCAGAAAAAATTTATTATGAAAAGCTATTGTAAAAATCAGGGCAAAGCAAAAAGCTAAATGGCTTGTAATCTGGAAGAGGGTTTGGATNCTTGTCATATCAAAAGAACTCCACAAAAATCTCCTGGAGAATTAAAAAAATAAGTTTAAGGAAAAAAAACCATGAATCTCAGAAAAAATTTATTATGAAAAGCTGTTGTAAAAATCAGGGCAAAGCAAAAAGCTAAATGGCTTGTAATCTGGAAGAGGGTTTGGATACTTTAAAGAGAATTTAACTGGTTACCTGTTATTCACATTAACCCATTCAAAGCAGTTATTAAAATGCATTCAATAAATGAATAAAGGTGAAATAAACACTGCTATGCACAGAACTGGAAGGCAGTTGACTGAAATTTAGTCCTAGCCTTTTCACTAGCTAACTATGCAACCAACAGAAGATTAACTGATTTAACTGATTTCAGGAGGCTTAGTTTCCTCCTGCAGAAATAGTACAATGTGACTAGATTATTTCCAAGGTCTTTTCCAGATAATCAATACTCTTAAAAATTA